AGATAAGATCGGATGGTAGATCGATAACAATTGATTATAATAGAAAAAATAAAATCAATCAATCAGTAAGATCTGATAACAATTTAATGTTTTAATCAAAAAATAATTGTAAACATTTCATATTAATAAACAAAATTTATCAATAAATATTTATTTAATTAAAATTAAATAAGCAATTTTGTAATTAAATGAATGCTTATTTGTTTGCTTTTTTTTTAAATTGAAAAAAGAAAAATTACCGAAAAATTAATTTTTCTGTGAAAAAAACAAAAACAAATTAAGAAATTATCGGAAATCAATTCTATAATATGGTTTGATGATCGTTTTTCCTTTTTTTTTTTCTATTCTTATTGATAATACTTCTATTATTAATTTCAAATAATAATTATTAATTCTGTTAATTTCAAAAAATTCCAACGATACATGTTGAGAAGAAAGTCACAACCATCTTCAACATCATTATCAGAAAGATCGATTGATCAAGGGATAGGAACATTTTCAAGCACGGAAATGAGCCATACAGAAAATGCGCAAATGGATAAGACTAAAACGAAACAAAAATCACATCAATGTATGTATTTTATTAAGCATATGAATATTTTTTTTTGAAATATTTTAGACCATTTGCTGTCATTTAATCTAGTAGAAATGAATCATTTTTTAAAATTTAAAAAAAAAAAAGAAAAATGATAATTCAGACAAATAGCAAGCTGTTATTCTCCTCTTACCCATTCAATTTAAGTTAGACTATAACTAATCGTTGTTTGTTCTCAATCAACTATTATAAATTCTAAATTTATGAATTTATTTTGAATTATAATAGAAAGTTACAAGTATAGAATATATTACATATACAGCATAATTACTCGTTCACTATTAACCTATGACCTTTTTTCTCTTCTAGGAAAACAATAACTGGAAAATCCCATTATGGAATGAATTATTCATTGTGATTATTATAAAGTAAATGTTTGGTTGAAAAAACAAAGAAAAAATAAATGAAACTCAGTTTAGTGTATGTATTTTACCCAGAATTTCTATGCAAATTTCAAAATGCAATTAATTAACTTGACAGATTATGATAAAGCATTTTTGGTTTGTTTGAGCATTTGTAAGCAAATTTAGGGAAGAAAAAGAAAAACCAAGTTCCAAATTAATCCAACTACTCTCTCTCTCTCTCTCTTTCTTTTCTTCCTATAGCATTCAGGTTAACCTACTCTAGAAAACTGCAATCTTTCTAGGTTTTAGTTTCAAAACGAATGAAACACCTCGCCTTTATCCATAAGATTAAAAAAAAAAGAAAAAATAAACAACAAAGTTCGCTTCAAAATTAAGTTCGGAATATAATTGAAATCCATAATAACTCCCACATTTCATAAGAAATTTTCTTATAATTTTGTTATTTTTAATTTTTCAGTATACAAAATCGATTGATTTCAATATCATTGACACTTATTTCATTGATTGAAAGATCGTTTATGAAGCAAATAAATCAAATAATTTTCAAGCAAATAACCATGATAAGATTATCAACAAATCGTTAATGTTGGATGTTAGACAGTGATAAGATTACCAATAAATCGTTAATGGAGAATATTTGCGCATAAAAGAGCATAGATCATTCTTGTGATATCTGATTATTTGAAATGAAAAATTTACTCGTATGTTCGAGTTTTCTCGAACGACTGACTTTTCCTTTCTTTCTTGGAAATTTTAAAAATATTAAAATATGAGTGCTAAGATGAAAAAAAAAAAACCATAATTTCGTGAATATATCAGATATTAATCTTTCATAGAAATAGCCAAGAAATTGTAATTAGAGCACTTTGTAATCATTAACGTTATCAAATCAACATTAACTGTCATGATTAAATTCTAAACAAACGTATTTCTGAATTTTTGATTTCATTTTCCATCGAAAAAAAATTTAATATCTAGGATTATCAAAATCCAATATCTTCATATAGAAATACGGCTTCCACAGAATGTACACATAGTCTTTAGGCAATCTAGGGGAAATGAAATGCAGTAGAGAAGAGCAAATCGAGCAGGAATTCAATTCAATTTTTCAAGAAAAAGAAAGCCAATGATACTGAGTACAGTTCTAGGCTTAGTTTTATTCCTTTAATTCTAGGTAGCTGTAGAAAATCCTGAACAATTTCCTCACAACATCTATTTTCCATTCTTTTATTATGATTTTATCTTCTTACTATTTCTCCGCTAAGCGAAAAGTATTAATGTTCACTTACATTCATATTGCAAAAGAGACCACTTCTGGAATAGTAACATCCAAAAATTTTCTATTTAAGCTAGAACTGAAACAAACTGAAACAACCAAAACCAAAAATTCAGATTAACATATTTTCAACTTTTTTTTTTTGAAGCGAATGATTTTCGAGCAAAAGTAAGACTATTTATTTACAGGAAAATTCACTCACAGGAAAAAATTCGTTAATGATGGAAGAGAAACATAGCACAATATAAAAGGCCTCACAATTTCTGTAATTCGTAATACAATACAATCGTTATTCACAAAGTCCATTGATAATAAAATCGGTGATATGTGCTATTCTCTAATGGAAATATTACAAAGAACAGAAATAAGGAGGATGAAGAAAAAAAAAGTGCTTCAAGCACGTAAATGATTGAAAAAAGGTGAGGTACACAAAAACGGATGAATGAATTAAATCGACTGCTCGTAATATCCTACTTGCTTATCATAATTTCATTTCACAAAATGATTTGTTAAAAATGCACTACATTTAGTCTCCAGTGAGGTCAAAACTTGATTTATGAGACACATTCATATTCCAAAAGTTAAAAAGTGATTGTGATATAGAAAAATTGCTTCCCATATCTCGCCAAAATTTCACCAACATTTCGAGATAAAACGCACAATGCTGCAAGGTACACAGTAAATTCACATATCATCAAGCCAAATAAAAGGTGACCAAATAAAAAAAAAAGAAAGAAAACAACAGTAATTTATTAACTGAGAAAAACGAAAACGAAAAAAAAAAGACTATGAAAAGTCTAATTAGCAGAGATCGGCGAGTGACTTCCGGATATTCCCATCGATATATTTAGCGAACTAATCATAGTTTGAAAAGCCATTTAGCGTGCCATTATTTTTTTGTAGCTGAACTTTCCTGCAACATTTTATAACCATGAGATACTCATCTATAAATTGTTCAACTGTAATAACAACAAAAACACGAGAAAAAAATTATAAATTCAGAAGTGTTACAAGAAGCTGTACACTGTGAACTTATATTGTGATACTGCTTGCTAGCCAGTGCTTCCACTCAATATTTTTCACCTTGAAATTTGCGAATGTGTTTCCTAATATCTTTTAACTTCTCATTTGATAATTTATTGAATATTTTAGCATGCTAACCCCTTTTTGGCCACTTGTCCGTGTTTCTACCGAAGATTTAATTTTAATCATTCGCTCACGAAACTGTTTTTCTAGGATATCAGCGCACTGATAGGCAGCTGAATCTTTGGGATAAAATATGCGAGCGTTTTCAAAAATTTGTGTTATATCACTCGTAAATTCCTTTAAATTGCGATATTCGTAACGTTCCAGTTTTTGCTGCACAATGCTGAGATCTGTAAGTGGAATATTTTATTCAAGCAGCTCATAACAGGTTTTAACCACCATCTATTTGTTGAATAACCGAAAAGAACTGACCTGTTTTCTTTACTACGAAAATACTGGAAAGAAAAACAAAATATATCGAGCAATGAGTTGCGCTTTCAGCAAATGAACTTGTTAGTGATAAATCAAAAAGTTCTCAAAACTAACCCATCGGTTTCTTAACAATAGAATAATACTCTGGATGATCTTTCTGATTAACCGCTTCTCGAAAAGGCCAGCTAGTACGATGACTTTTCAAGCTATCAAAGACATGCTCAAGAAGCTCAAAATCAGGGCGCTCAAGCAATAAAGGCGACGAAGATGAAGTACTCGACTCAGAGTCTGTTTGCTTGTTTCGTTTACATTGTGGGCACAGATACTCAGCTGCTTTCTCGGCTTCCCTAAATTCCACTTCAATAAGCAAAACCCTTATTAATTCATGCATTGTTGTAATCATTATTGTTTATTGTTCGAATATTAATTTATAGTATTTCTTGATGAACGATATATTCATCGTTTTACACGAACACAAAACACTAAACTTTTGTGTCTTAAGTTGTTTTCTCTCAGATGTAGCTTAAATCACTTGAAGTACTTGTAATAATTAAGCGGTCCTAAATAAATATATAAATACTGCAGAAAGAAAAAATGTTCTACACCTGTACTTCGTTCTTCATTTTCTCAAAAAGAATCCCAAAAAGAAAAACGCGAAAGAAACATGATTTGTATTTTTCAGCGTATTAAAAAAAAATTACTCTTGAGTGATGCCAACGCACTGTGGATGGAACCATCCTTCACATCCATCACACCCAACATAGAACTGCGAATCATCATATGGAGTTTGACAAACACAATACAACTCCTGAAATCGAGTGAACTGAAAATAAATTTATAGTTATAAAGTGTATGAACAATGTCTTTTTTGTTTTCTTGTTAGATAATTCAAAAATCAGTGCAGACCCTTAGTTCAACGGCACTGTCAAAATTACCAAGCATTCTATTCAATTTAGAATGGTAAGGAATAACAGAAATTAATTTAATAACCCAACGATAGCACAACTAATACAAGGCAGAAACTAACCTTTTCTGAACCTTTTTGCTCCTTGGCACAATCTGCACAAACCCAATTTGTCATTTTCTTTGATTTCTTTTCCGATATACCAACACATTTACCATGGAACCACTGATAGCACAAATCGCAACCAACATAAAACCTGAAAATAAATAACTAAAAACTCAAAAGCTTGAGAAATTATTTCTTTCATTTCACTAATGAAATCTAAGCTTTCTCCAATATTGAGTTGTCCTGTATCGTCGCTGTTACAAGAGAAATATTTCGTAGTACATAGCAAGGACTATCATACAACAACGAAATGATGAATGAGCTTTACCACACAAGACATATCAAAGACAATGCATGGTAGGCTCATTCAGATAATTATAGTCTGTTTTATCAGTTAATTTTAAATTGATAGTAAGAAAACTAAATTTCATCAACTTGTACTTTCAAAAGCGTCAAAAACTATAAAACAAACACATCACAAAAGCTCAAACAAGCACAATAAATAAATGAATGATGACTTTTTCGGGTCATACGGCTGATTGCATTTGCAGTGTCGTTTTGTGGTATCAATGTCTGGAATAGATTCCGAACATGCTGTTCCTGGCCGCGACGACGTCGAAGGAGTTGTTCCACGTGCAACATGACGTTGTTCTTTTCGAGTTTTTCCATTTGGTTTCGTTTCGCTACTAGCCGACATCTGTGATGTCGACATCACTTCAGTCTTGATGAAAATTTCGTCCAACTAGAATTAGCAAAATCACAACAGAAAAAGTTATGGAATAAGAGAGCTGATAGAATTTCTATGAAGATAGTAGCAAGTTTGATTTTTCATCATAGTAATTCATTGCAAAAAAGCGGAAAATTATACTCAAACCAAAATTACAGAAAGTAAAGTGAGGTTAATTTTAAATAATGAAGTCGTTTGTACAGAATATGGAAAAAACAAGAAGCCTACTTTCATTAAATCACAAAGGGACTTCATCCTCCCTCTACCAACTTCCCACTTTTTAATTTTTACATTTCATTATTTAATAAAGCAGAAAGAGTTATCCATGCAAATAAAGTACGGCGGTACATTGCTGAAGATGCCTTACTGACTGTTCCATATTACTTTCCTTAAAAAGGCAAAAAATTTACACTCTTTTTCTTCTTGCTTCTCTCACTACGTCGTTGTTGTGAGGGATCTTCCATTTGCTGCTGTCCAGAATCCGGTAAAGATTGATCCTTTGGAGATAATTGCGGTGAACGTTGCTGAATGGACAAATCCGGTATTAATCCCGTAGTTTTTGGACAAAGCACACTACCGCTTTCGCTTGGAAGATGACTACTCGACTGTTCATCCATCTAAAATTTAATCACGAAAATCAAAATCAGAAATCTGTTCAATTTATGTGAAAGAGATCAGTATAATAAAAACCTTATTGGACGGTGCTGTTTCGTCGGGATGCACTATACCACCTAACGATATAGTACTTGGTTCTACCGGCATTCCTGCTATAGCGTGTAACTGTGCACTTGAAGCGGTGCAATGCTCACGCACTCCTGCAAAAATATATAGATTTATAAGAAACTGATAAAAGCTCTATTTGAAAAATCAAAATTCATCAGAGTATAAGAATGAAATTAAAATATTTAAAACTTTAAAATTTCAAATCAGCTAAGTTTTACCTCAGTAATGTGCAGATAACTGCTTAATAGTAGGCAAAACCCCAACCTGTTCGAAATAATTAAGATATTGGAAAAAGCATCTACAAAATAAAATTCATTAGTCGCAAATTCCCTTTTCTTTCTTAAGTATTCCCAGTTTTCGATTAACTTTTAAGCCTCACTCTTCTCAGGCCTACTTCGAGGCCGGCGCCATGGCGCAGTCATTCCGGCCTCGGCCTCTGCTCTTTCCTCTAACTTAAGACGCCTTTTATTGACTTCTCTCTTGAATCGTTCAATGCGCTCACCCAGCTCAATTTCAAGTTGTCGTGCTGAAAGTCGTTCCATCTTCAGTGCCCTGAAAATTGAGAAATTATTATTGGCAATATGGAAATAAGGAACATGCGGGCGCAAATAAAGGAGCACGGTAATTGAAAAAAAAAAACACACAAAAAAGTGTTCCACAAAATAATAATTGATATCTTCCAAACAGTAGTTAATTCCACTACTAAGGTAATCAATTTAAAAAAAAAATTGTACATTGAAAAGCTAAAATAATGAAAAGATAATGTAGTACCTTTGCTGCATTTCGCGTCGCTTTCTTTCTTCCTGACGTTTTTCGAAAACACGCTGAATATGACGCCTGTGCCAACCATTCTCAGCATCCATTATGCAAACTTCTGTTATCAAATTATCAAGCATCTGGAAAAGTGGACGTAAAAAGTTCTGAAGTAAGCCGAGAAACATATTAGATATGTATTAAATGTATAAGAGATTTAATAAATTTTGTTAAATACTCTTTCCTCCCAAAATATATTATAATTTTACTTATAAAGTCTTGGCAAATCGGTATTTTCGCTCAAAAACGAAAGCTTTTCTATCAAAAAAGCTGCCAGTGAAAGGATTGGCGGTAAAGATATAGAAATCAGCATTATGTGATAAGAAAGGAAACCTCTTTTATAACTCGTTGATCTTCTGGTTCAAAAGGACGAATGTAAAGATTTGAGCGAGTATCAACGGTTCCAATATATTTCATATGAGTACGACTACTAGCATAAGTGTGTCCAACTGATGATGGCATGTCTGTTAATTCGTTCAACTGAGACATATGCATTTTTCCATACAGTGATGATACTGGAAACGTAAGAAAAATGAAAGTACGAAAAATTTACAGTTTTGGAGGCGAGCTAAAAGACTAATTCAATAGATAAATGAACGCTAGATGTTTGTTATTATGATACATACGATATGTTCCTAATCTTATATATTTCAAAGATCATCCAGTTCAGGTCATGAAATTCTAAACCACTTCATCATATATACGCCCATCAATTCTCATCATACAATCCTTGTGATATAAGTTGTTCGCAACATTAATTTTCCAGATCGTAAGCCTCTTTACCAAGTGACTAATGGCTATCACTGTTCAAAATTTTCACTATGCATTGCTACTCATTTTAAATTTCATTGTATTTCAGCCAACCAAAACGAGATGCATTGCTACTCATTTTAAATTTCATTGTATTTCAGCCAACCAAAACGAGCATATAATATTGAAACGTTGATACTAATTAACTGTGTAATGCCTTATACGAATAATCACAAAAAAAAAATTTTAGAAGCACTCCGAATAGCTAAGAATCATTCACTCCTGATAAACCACTTAGATATTTGATAGCGTTACAAATTTTAACTCGTTG